CCCGTCTCCACCCCCCGCATCAGCTGACAATTCCCACATGAACACCTAAACAAAAGCGACAGCATAAGCTCATTCTACTCTGCAGTGAACGCGATATAATAAGTTTATCTACTACATTTATTAATACTTTACCAATCAGTAATGTTCAGCTGATGCCGACGTGGTGCTTGCGTTTCGTGCACCTCCAAGTCCTCGTCTGATTCCAGGTCCAAAACATGTGGCTGAACGCGCTGTATCACCATGATGAATAAAAGTTTGATTCCTACCACTATCAGACCGCTAAACGCCTGTCTCCCCCTCCCTCCCTGAGATGGCGGAGGAAGGGACGGCTCACTCAGAGCCTACGTCCCTTTTGGAGGGCGGAGCCTGTGCTTTCTCAGGACGGCCGGGGGGAGGAGCAATAGTCGGCCTTTCATAGTTCCTGGTCTGTAACTGCCTCCAAGAAATCAGTAAGATTTTATAACTATTGTGTAATGGATGTTCCAAAACCCAAATTGTGCTTGTTTATGTGCAGAAGATTCAATGTGAAAAGAGTTATTTTGCATGAGATGGGCCCTTTAAATAAGTTTATTTTAGGATTTCTTTTATATGAATAATATATATATATATATATATATATATATTTATATATATATATATATATATATATATATATATATATATATATATATATATATATATATATTATATTTTAAATATAGAGATTATAGAACAGCTGGATATATAGTTTATTTATTTATGTTTTTCAATGGCTTATTTCATGTTCAAAGTATATTTCATTCATTTTATGTTTTATACATCACAAAACTGCTCTAAGGTACATATTTGTAGCTTATATTTATTTTCAATTTGAAAGTTTTGTGTAAATTATCAATAACAAAGTGTTTTTGGAGAGACAGAAATACTGAATAAATGCATCATGTAACTAAAAAATAATCGAGCAGCCTTAAGTTCTAATCTTTGCTTTAGATTCTGACCTCCACTTTTCTGGTGGAGGATCCGTCACCCACTTGTCTCCATGGAGATGTCATTACTTAGCCTGGAAAATTCCACAGTGTGACATTAAACATATCCAACTAACATTTCTTTGTTTTTATTGCTCAAAAAAACGATAACACCTTCTGTGAATAGGGGTGACTCTCCACAGATCTGAACTGTAATGTAGCGCAGTCCTATATGATGGATAGATAGATTAAACCTACACTGTGGAACATTCTAGACAAAGCAATCGGGTTTCCATGGAGACAAGCACGTGGCGGCTTTGTTTTTAGGGTGAAATATGTAACTTTTCTGGTAGTTTCTAGCACTTGCTTGTCTCCATGACGATGTTATTGCTTTACCTTTAATGCTCCATGGAACGGCATTAAACTTATTTGCATTTATTCAATTTCAAGCGTTTCCATTGCTCGACTTATAACTTGGCACGGCGGACAGATAGATGGATAGATAAATTTAATGGCAAATTTTCGAAGATTCAGCAGAGACAAGCAGAAAAGTTACATAATGAAGATTTATGATTTAAATGTTTTGCTTTTGATTACGTAGAGTTACTCAAACTTGCATTTTATCTCTGTTCAATCTGCCCAGTCTGCAGTTTCACGGCCGAGGTGAATGAACTCATAGATCGGGGGTGAGTGAGGACAGGCTGCTCCTACGGTGGCCTGGTCGGGTCAGACTGTTCTACACAAATACACAGCTCTGTCACAGACGAGCAACACTGGGACGCCTGTTTTCTGATGGGCGCACAGCCAAGAGGGTGAAGAGTGGGAGGAAACCAAAACAGTCAGCTGACAGTGGGCCCACACCACAACACAAAGATCAACCAGAAACGCTTTATTCAGAATGAGTCTTATTATCGGATGTTTCAGGGCATTTTGGGAGATTTCAATGGTGTGATGTAACTTTTTTTTCCTCTTTTTTCTTGTACAAATGTAGGACAACAGGGCACTTTGTCAAATCAGACAAAAGTGTAAAGTGGGTGTGCATTTTTCTCTCACAGTGAAGCAACAATATATTTAATTAATGAAAAGGGGCCTATATTATATCATTTTCTGTTATAATGTTGTCATCAAAATCTGACCTGCAGTTGAGTTTTGTTTCATTCACAATCGTATGTTTGTATGTGGTAATACAATTAACAGAGGTGGGACCAAGTCGTCGTTTTGCAAGTCTCAAGTAAGTCTCAAGTCTTTGACCTCAAGTCCGAGTCAAATACACACAAGTCCAAGTCGAGTCTTGATTCACTGGACCATAAGTCCAAGTAGAGGCCAAGTCGTTTGCTTTGAGCTTCAAATCAGTTCAAGTCTTTAAACCAAAATACCAAATATAGCTTTGGTTTTTGCAATTTCTATGAATTTTAAACTAAATTGTACTTAAAATAGTCATGGCATATTTTTACATGAGTATTTATGTAAGAATTGTAGAAATGCTAATATTTCCTTTTTAAATGTCTTGACCAGATCTTAGTGTGAATTATTACAGTTAGAATAAAAAGAATTCAGATTTAAAAGTGCTAAATAACAGTTAATTTGTCATGTCGTCTGCACTGAAATGGACGGTTCATGTTTCATATAGTTCCCTCTGTTTTACTGTATTGTACTGCATATTACTGTAGTACAGGCATGTCCAAACTACGGCCCGTGGGCCAAATGTTGCCCTCGGACAAATTTTTCTTGGCCCTCAGGCTTCCAGGTGACTTGGCCCAAATTACCTTGCATCAATTAAAAAATTTACTTTTTGATGCAAGTTTTTTTTAAAATCTACCTTGATAAAGCTCATATTGAATATTTAGTCTGTGGTTTTGAGGATCTTAGCATGAATACAGATTGACGGCTCATTCTAATGTGTTAAACATGCACATATTTCAATTATTCACTGTACTGAGCACCAGTCCGCGGCTCTTGATCAGCCCTCTGCTTCGTCTGTGTTTAGATACGTGGCCCTTGATGAAAAAAGTTTGGACACCCCTGCTGTAGTACATTTGAGTATCACAGTATTTCAGCTACACCCAAAGTACCAAACAGAAGTGGGAGCGACATGTTTCAGTTTGTTAAAGTAAAATTCAGCTCCACATTTATCAACTGTAAAGAGAAAAGTATTTTCTAAAAACTTTTTTTTTTTTTGCAGAAGCATAAAGTCTTCTCAAGTCACAGGCCTCAAGTCCAATGCAAGTCCCAATTCTTGGAACTAAAATAGTCCTAAAAATAGTGACTCAAGTCTGACTCGAGTCCAAGTCAAGACTTACAAATCCACACCTCTGACAATAAGTGCTCCGCTGTGTTTTTAAACTCCATACACCTTCACTAGAATCATTTGGATGATTTTGGCCATGGAATTGCCAGTCTCTACTGAACTAAAGGTAAAAGGAGCTGTTAACTTGAAAACTACCGCTTCATGACATCGCACGATGTAGCAGAGCATTTTGAGTTTTGGAGATGCAGACAGACTAATAATAAAGAGTTACTCAAACATGTGGGAATGAAACAAAACACAACTCCAGGTCTGTTTTTGATGAGGTAATAACATTCTAACATGACTTAAAGTTCACAAGAGGCAATTTCAAAATAATATAGAAAGTTTAAAGAAGACATATTGTGCTTTTTTTTGGAGAGATCGCCAACTATAACATTTTGCTCCTTGTAAGCTGCAATCTTGATCTAAAATAACAGAAACAGGTCCCTCGAGTCCTTGTTAAAACAATCTAAACTAAACCAATGACGTTCTTATAACATGGTTAAAAGCTCATAAAAGTCCACTGTAGACAATATGTCCCATTTAAATGGCAAATAAATGTAAAATGTAAAAACTTTCAGCTACTTTTAGACATTTTCTCATACAAATGTTGGGCCTATAATCATAATATCGCAGTCCCAGTTATTCCCCTAGTAGTGGCTCAGTGTTTAAAGGAATCGCCCACTAAGTCCATTTAATCACAGAGACGTTAAGACGAGTGCTTGCTGCCATTGTGTCCCAGGGCAAGACACTTCACCCTCCTTGCCTGTGTAAATGTCGTATGTGATTTTGGTGTTGAGGGAACATAAACATAGATTGGCAGTCACGCTTTTGTCATTCTTCCTCAGGGCAGCTGTGGCTACAGAAGTATCCTAATATGGGGAGTGATTGAATAAAGGCCTCCTTTATTACTTTGAAATACTTGTCAAGCTTCAGCAGTAGTAGTAGATTCAGCTCCAGGAATACTAGTGGTGTTAGTATTCTGAGTACTGGCAGTAACAGTTACAGTACTTACAGTAATAAGAGTTTAACTTACCATGCCTTACATAATAAGGACAGAACAGTAGTCACAGTAGGTATAGTAGTGTATACTTTATCTGATTTACCATGTTGTAGGTATGAGTACAATACAGTAGTAGTAATAGTAGTAGTTATCAACAGTTACAGTACTTTATAATGTTGTAGGCATTGAGGACAATAGTAGCAGACGTAGTGGTAGTGGCAGTAGTAAGAGTATCAGTATCAGTAGTAGTAAATAGTAGTATACAGTATTATTGACTTGGCATTGAGGACCATAGTGGTATAAGTAGTAGTAGTAGTAGTAGTAGTAGTAGTAGTAGTAGTAGTAGTATCAGTAGTAGTAGTAGTAGTAGTAGTAGTAGTATCAGTAGTAGTAGTAGTAGTAGTAGTAGTAGTAGTAGTAGTAGTAGTAGTAGTAGTAGTAGTAGTAGTAGTCAAGTAGTAGTAGTAGTAGTAGTAGTAGTAGTAGTAGTAGTAGTAGTAGTAGTAGTAGTAGTAGTAGTCAGTAGTAGTAGTAGTAGTAGTAGTAGTAGTAGTAGTAGTAGTAGTAGTAGTAGTAGTAGTAGTAGTAGTAGTAGTAGTAGTAGTAGTAGTAGTAGTAGTAGTAGTAGTAGTGGTAGTAGTAGTAGTAGTAGTAGTAGTAGTAGTAGTAGTAGTAGTAGTAGTAGTAGTAGTAGTAGTAGTAGTAGTAGTAGTAGTAGTAGTAGTAGTAGTAGTAGTAGTAGTAGTAGTAGTAGTATGTGACTCACCATGTCATATGCATTGAGGACCTTGCGCAGCAGCTCTGGCACTGGCCCCTGGGCCTGCATTGCGGGATAGGGCGCGCTCAGGTCCACAGTGACCCGCAGAGAGCGCTCACTGTTCATGAGCCACGTGGACACGGTCAGGATGCACTGCTTCATGTTGGCAGCAGGGGTCAGGCCACACAGCTCTTTGAACGACACCATGGCATTCTGGGAAATAAAGAGAAATACACACATGATCATCAGAAACCGCATGTTTGCTTTGGTGTAAGTTTGGCTGCTTGGCTTGTCTGGATACAGTTAGGATTATATGCAATAACATTATTTAGATCAGGGGCCCCCAGCCACCAGGTCTGGAGCCCAAAACTGACTGCCACCTAGTACTGAGCCCCAGAGAAAAATAGTATATATGTATTTATACAGTACAACTTCTTTTAGTCTACTACCTTTTAACTCTGAAAATACAGAGCAAATTAACCTCAGCAGTAAACATGATTATAAAGCCTTTTTTTTTCAAACTATGGCTAAGAGTGATGAGCATTTTGTGCTGTTATTATTGTCCCTGCCCTCCTCCATCGGCCCCTGAAAAATGTGATACTTTCACTTGAGTATTTTTTGCTTCAGTATGTGAACTTTTACTTAACAAAATGGAGTATTTCTTCCACCATTATTTGTTGGACTGTAACTTTTTCTGTAATGAATTAGAACATTCAATAGCCACTTGGTAATTTAATTCTCCATACAAGTCTGTGCATTTCGACAATTCAATGAAAAACAATTTCATAGCTATTCATAGAAAATCATTATCTGCAGCTGGAGTGGTGTGTAACATGTGATAGGAACCAACACAAGCATCAAACTGAGCTCAAGGACTTCCTCATTAAGATGCACACAACAGATAGAAAAGAGAATTGGACAAATGCGTCACTGCTGCTGTCACTCAGTAAAATGAAATGTAACTGATTAAACATGTCCGAATACCAGTGTCTCCAGCTGATTACGATCTGTCTGTGTGCTTATAGGATACTTAAAGGGCCTCTGTCAGACTTTTTCAATAAGCAGCACTTGAGGTCACAGAAAGTCCATACACCGCTGTCTGCATCTAATTCTAAGCGTTTTAATGTCCAAGCATTAGGAAGTGTGCATTTAGCATGCTAGTTTTTGTGAAAGTTATGTTTCCTGTTTGAGAGAAGAACTCAGCCTGAATATGCAGCGTGTGTTAAACATGTGTGAATGAACCGAACACAACTCCAGGTCTGATTGTGATGAGGAAACTACATTATAACATAGGTCATAATAAAGACCCAACAAGAACTTCCTCTCCTCCTCTTCACCACCACCAGTGTCGAATCAAATCTGGTGAATATGGTCAGAAATGTTTTAGGTACCATCCTGTATTTTACATTTGTTAAATTGTCTGCATGTCTCACTTTGAATAAACTAACAGTTAAACATGGAAATGTACAGGGTAAATTCCAACACTTTTTTTTTTCTACAGTGGATGACATTTGAGAGAAACCTAGGCACATGCACGACTAAACCTAAACAAGAATTCCATGCATTTCAGAACATGTTTGCAGAGGTTGAAACTCCAGGCTTAGAACAGAGTGTGAAGGTGAAGAAGACATGGTCACTCCATGTTGTTTGCAGAGACCATTGTATAAACTAGACAGCCTTGGCAATTTGCTAAATGTGACCATTCCATTATCCATGACGTAGATAACCCTTAGAGATAGGATGAAGAGCTCAGTCACATGGGAGGAGACCTTGGGGAAGACCCCAGGACATGCTGGAGGGACTATGTCTCTCGGGTGGCCTGGGAACGCCTTGGGGTCCCCCCGGAGGAGCTGGAGGACGTGTGCGTGCAAAGGGAAGTTTGGGAGTCCCTGCTTAGACTGCTGCCTCCACGACCCGGCCCCGGATAAAACGGAAGAAAATGAATGGATGGATGGACTTGTGTAACTTGGTCCTATTATTATATATTCCCTCATCAAAAACAGACCTGGAGTTGGGTTTTGTTTCATTCACACATATTTGAGCAATCCTGCATTATTAGTCTGTCTACATCTCTGAAGCTCAGGATGTTCTGTTCCACCTTGTGCAGACATAAAGTGGTAGTTTTCAAGTTAACAGCTGTATTTTACCTTTAGTTCAGAAAAGATTGGCAATTCCAGGGCTGAAATTGTACAAATGACTTTAGTGAAGGTGTATGGCGTTTAAAATGCATTGGAGCACTTCCTGTATTACCCATGACATCACAAGGTGGAACAGAGCATATTCTGTGTGAGAGAAGAACTCAGCCTAAATATACAGCATCTGTGTGTTAAACATGTGTGAATGAATCAAAACACAACTCCAGGTCTGTTTGTGATGAAACAATCTATCATACAGTATGTCACTGCTCTGCCTGGAATGTTCCACTGTATGACATTTTTAAATTACAGGTGGTTTTATAGCTCAAAAATGCCTAGAAAATCAGGCATTCTGACTGTGTGGAGTCGCCTCTCCACAGATCTGACCTGTAACTTGGTCTGGTTTCAATCCAATCCAGTTTATTTATATAGCACATTTTATAAACATGACAGTTTCTAAAGTGCTGCACAGACAAATTAATACAATAAAAGACAGTAAATTCTAATAAAAATAATAAAAAAAAGTGATAAATGCATAAAGCTAAAAAATATAAAACAATGAATAAAATAAAATAAATAATAAAAGACACAGACGACCACACAACTCACGTGGTGTTAAAAGAAATTCAAAATAGAAAGTTTTAATGCCATACTGTGAAATATTCTAAACAAAGCAATAACATCTCCATAAAGTAACACAATTGACAAACCCTCTACCAGAAAAGTTACACAATGCACCTTTAAATGTCATGTTTAACAGTGTAATAAGACATATAGCGATGTCCGTTTTTATCTTTAACAGTGTCCAATCTCCCCCTCACCTTGTTCACCTGCTCCGTCTGATCTCTCTGATTTGTCTCATTTGTCAAGAACAAAAGAGCCCAGTGACTTTGAGAAGACGCTTCGTTAATATTCCTTCCGAGTTACGCCTCCGTCTTTGCGATTTGGTAACCACCTCGCCTCACCGTCATGCCGTATTGGGTGCACGTAACCCCGTATTAACATTCAGATGTGCGGTTGGAGCTATCAATGGATTAGCCAGGGCCTGCAGAAACCTAAGCCTGGAACCGAGGGAGGGGGCCAGCTCCATTAGACATCTACAGAAAGGGAGAATGAATGGGAAAGTGCACGGGCGAGCGGAGATGTAGCCGCCGTGTTTTTTCAAAGCGACCACACACACACGCACATATAGAAAGACTTGTTGGGTTTCCGTGCTCTTTGGAGGACTTTACATTGACTTCTATTTCTTGAGACTGATCCTAATCTTCTTAACCATACTTACTTGTGTAACTTTTCTGGAGTTTTTTTCTCCATGGAGATGTTATTGCTTCGATTGGAACGTTTCACTGTATGGTATTAAACCGTTCTATCTTCTTGAAGACCAAACTTGACCAAGTTACAGGTCAGATCTGTGGAGAGGTGATCCCGCTGACAGCCAGAATGCCTGTTTTTCTACCATAAAATACAAAATAATAGCTGGGTCCCCTTTAAACGCCAGGTTCAGGTGTGTATTTTGATAAATAACCGCCGGTTCCAAATAAATGGCGAGTCTTTATAGAAAGTAGCCTCTGCCGACACCCCCAGCAGTCGTTCTGGCTACTGCCAAGGAGGCTTGCAAACTCCAATTTCCCATTTTCTGTGCTTTATTTAACCAAGAAGTCATGATTAGTGCAGCAATACCACAGAGAGCAGTAGCAGTTTGACTTCAGTTCAGTCCTGCCTCAGAGTGGATAGCCTATGAGACTGGCTTTTCTGCGTCTGATCAGCCTCACCTTCACTGAAAAAGTGGCGGAACAGATGGCGCCGCGCTGAAATCCCTATTTTGAAGTGACGTAAAAAAGAAAGATGGCGCAACATAGCGGGCAGGAAATGGAAGAAGTTTTTAGGAGTTTTGGTAATACTACTTCAGTTTGGCGATTGGGAGGAAGTCTGCAATATCATCGAGGCTGCTGAGGCGTAAGAGGAAAGCTGTGGCAAAGGGGCGAGGCAAGGAAAGGCAGGGGAAACGTCGGCAGGAACTGTGCCGACAAGGTAGGCAAAGTAGTCGTCAGGCCATCGAATAATGTAAAAATGTAAATTATAGTCATACTGGTTAAAAGTATTTGAGCACCATATTTTCCCAGTTTTGCCAAGCAAGATTTTTGGAGAAAGGAATTAATCACCTGCCCCAAATTGCGGCCTGGTCTCTTAAAGGTTGTATGGAGGATTTTTTTAAAGTTTCAAATTGTTAGTGAAAGTTTCAAATACCATTACAGAGACGCAGCCGCCTTGTAATTATGATGACCAAAAAAAAAAAAAAGAATGAAAATTTATCAACTGTGGATGTAGTGAGGCCAGATAAACATCAGCCAATAGAAAACGAGGCTGGCTCATTTTCTGTTGGCTGTTAGGTTGTCAATCAAACTCCCTACGTTTCTAGTGTAACTGACTCGCCTGAGCGCGGGAATTATGTGGTTTATGCAGCGGTTCTTAGAGGCTTTTTTAAACTGTAGCTTCCTCGCAATTCACACAAAGTTTGTTGCGATGACGGACGAGAATCCACGACCTGTTCGCCGTAAAAGAAAGTCAATTTTTGAGGTCGCTGAAAGACAAAGAGAAGGGGAAAAGGAGCAAAGCCAGACTGAGGTGATTCTTGGAGATCTCTTCCAGCGATTGCGCGATTGAAGCAGACGAAGGATCTTAAAGCTGACGCATCGGTCGCTAAATTATTTCTAGACGGGTCACTTCAACAGTAATTCTGAACATGCACTGGCTGTAAACAAACGGGATTTCTAGAGTGAGGAGGCGGGAGGAGATGTTTCTACTGAGGGAGCTGTGGAGGAGGAAGGTGGTGTCACGTATGCACAACATTTGAAAAAGGACTGTCGCTGTATTTCTCTTCCCTTAAACAGTCCTCTATACAACCTTTAAGTGATTGAAACAAATGAACTCCCCAGCTACTATTTAATAGGGGTGTAAGAATATTCAAGTCTCACGATACGATATCGTCACGGTATGAAGCTCACGGTTCAATATTTATTGGAATATCGTGGTACGGTACGGTATTTCACGGTATATCACGATATGGTGGGGAGGCTC